CTTTGCCTGGTTTTTGGTGTGATGAGTTCAAATTCACTTATTGCACGATCTAAAAACCCATGCTGATATTTCTAGGTTTCTACAAATTCCCAGGCAATTCTGGGCATTCCCTGCTAAGCAATACCTGAAATATGGACCATTGGAAAGATATAAGGACCAGCCCCCAAACAGCTGCAGTATCAGGGTTGTCTCTTTTGGGTAAATTCCTTAATAAAAGGCTTCATCATCACAAGCAGTCTGAAAGAGATGTGATTTTTAAAGCCTGCTTTAAAAAGTCATAGTGTTGGCTTTGTTCTCACCTCTGTGGCGAGGAAGTTCCTCTGTTTAAGGGGCCACTCCAGATGAGGACCTGTTTTTAGTGCCTGTCTCTAGTTCAGTTGTGGGGAACCTTTGTCCTTCCAGATGTTGCTGGTGTCCAACTCCCATCAGCCCCAACCAGCGTAGCTACAGTCAGGGATGATGGAAGTTGTAGTCTAGCAGCATCAGGAGGGCCACAGGTTCCCTCATCCAGATACACAGGCGTTTTCTTTGCTCTGTTCATCTATAGAGCCTAATCCTGCAAAGCTTAACCAGGAAGAGAGGCCATGAGAGGGGGCAGGGAGAAAGGTCAATAGGACTTTGGGCTCTGTCAATCCACTGGGATTTGGGGCATATTGGATTAAAAAGCCTATATAATGCAAAACATTTTCTCAATTATATAAAATTCTTGCCTGCTTTAAGGAACTTGGCATTTCAAACGAATCCAGGGGCTTAAACACCTCTCCCATCTGGAAGGGAGATTGTGCCCTTGTAGAAATATATATATATATATATATATATATATATATATATATATGCATGCTTCTGTTACAGAAAGCATCTTGTCTCTTTTACTGAGAAAGCATGATTCATTTCACAGAAATTCTCATCTGCTATTAATCTTTCAGGATATAGTTAGTGTTCTGATATTTTTTTCCAGATATTGTTTTATAGAGGGATTTGAAGTAGCTTTCCCTAGGCAGCCTGAAAGATTATTCAGTGATTATAAGCAACTCAATACTGTATGACAGCATCTTCATGCAAGGGACTTACAATCATGTTTCATTAATTCAGCTTGAACGAAGCCTCATTTTGGGCCTTGAGGAGCTTAAGATTTATGTGAAATTAATAACATAACAGATGTCTTCACAATTTGGTTCCTTCAGAAAAAAAAGGAGAAGGAGAAGGAGACCCTGATTACTTTGAAAACTTCAATGCTTTAAAATGCAGACTGAGGGAGTTGTCACTCTTGGGTAAGGGAGTTACTCCTTTCTATCTGCCATCCCTCTGAACTGAATAGAATTTAAATGTCAGCTTTATATGAAATAGCCCAAATAGTCATTATTGCCTACAATAAACAAGCAATCAAAAGCTATCACTTCCATTAATAAGTGACATCGGACATTTTAACTAAAACACAGGGAGATCAAACCTCCACCTTTTGATCTGCAGGTGGGAACAGGGCAAGAGGGAAGTAGACAAGGAAGAATATTCAGGAATTGGATTTCCCACTGTCCTTTGTTGCTGATAATTTAATCATATTTTCCTCATAGGAAAACAAAATATATCTGAGTTGACACAAAAATCTCCACTTTATAAGAGAGCCAAAAGCCTCTCTTGTGGATGTCTCTGCCTAAGGCCAAGTCTCTTCTTTTCTTCCTTTTCTTCTTTATTTTAAATCCAAAGGATAACTTTAAGCACTGGGTTTTTCAAAAGTCAATTCTTTTATCTGGGCACAGGGAACACTAGGTGCCCTGCAAGCTGCATTTAAACACATTCGTGTGCTCCCAGTTATCTCAAAGGAAACTGACTATGTGTTTATCTCCCGAAGACCAAATAATAACAGTAATTGAAATGAAATGGGAGAGGGTAAAATAAATAAAACGTTTTCACTTTGCTTCCCACCCCGCTCCTTTAAAAAATACAGAAAGGAGATCCAATATGCTAAGGGCGCAGGGGAACAATGTCTTCTTAAAATTCAAATAATTTGAGTGAAGCTGATAGGAGGGGAAGAAAGTCATTTGAGATGGTCTGATATGCAAAGCAAGTTACATTAAGGGCCTGGGAATGGAGACGGCACTGAGTATTATGGTTAAAGGCAGTGTCGGCGAAGTAATAAAAATTAGTCCATTTGATTGTTGTGGACACGGTTCATGCGCTAGCTCCACATTTCTAATGAGGCAGCCCCTTCACCACCACCACCCCTTGTTTCTTGCAGCCCACCCTGGGCATCTTGACTGAGCTTCCACTCTGCCAAGAGGTAAGAGTGCAGAGAGATAAAGGCAAGGAATCAAATGCTTTTAATGGGAATAATAAAACCCAAAACATAGTTGTCCCCCCATCTGAGGACCACAGGAGGAAATATCATTAGTATTTGTTGGAACAGACAAAGCAATGACTTCTGAACATGATTCTCTCTCTCTCAAATTAATACCAAGGAATTCCTTAGGCATACAGAAATGCACTCATCTAGCAACTCAATAATCAAAAGCCTATGGTAAACTCCGTGTCCATTGCTTGAGATGTTTGGAAACAGTGCTGTTCCAGAGATGACATGCTTGTTCCACGCTGAAAAAAAAACCCATCCACCATGCATATGGATGGGTGGGTGGAGAGAATCCTTTAAAAAAAAAAAAAAGTCATTCTGGGCAAATGTCTGGGGGCCACATGCCTGTGGAGCATGTTTCAGGGAGCCAGAAACAAATGCAGTTGGAGGAATAAAGGCAAATGTTAGCTTTGTACGCTATGCTGGTTTCAGCACAAACTGCCCTGCCCCTCTGTGTCCTGCATCAAGACAGGCAAGAGGGATGGACATATTCCAGCCTAAGATCTCCCACTGAGCTTCCTGGCCAAGTAGGGATTTGAATCCTGATTCAGCACTCAGGGGTGGAGGAAGGGGGGTGCGGTAGGTGCGGGCCGCCCCGGGTGTCACCACTGAGGGGGGTGACAAAATGCCAGGCGGCACTCACTGTGGTGCCTGCAGTGCGCCCGAGCCACATGTCTCTCCTGGGAGAGACGCGGTCGCTTGGGCACATGCAGGCTCTGTGCCAACCAAACAGTCCACCCACTGCCTCCCCCCCGCCTGTAGGGCACCTGAGTGGGAGGAGGCAGGCAGACTCCGGGGGCCCCACAGTACGCCCCACAGTGTGCCCCTATGGGTGGCTCGCACCACCCCTGGGCGCACCGCCCCAGGCACCCGAGCAGCTTCCTCCACCGCTGTCAACACTTTAACCACTATGCCACACGGTCTCCCCAGCATAGTCTAACCACCACATGAATTTTGTGCAAGCAAACCAGGATGGCTGCTGAATAAACAGGACTTCTGGAGGAATTCAGACACACCTTTTGAAGTCTTGGCCTCTAGCCAGACAACAGAAAGGAGTTTGCTTTGTTTCAGGAGGGCCTTTGAGGGTATGCTAATTTGCTGCCACCCACCTTTTGTCGGGTGGGGGTGGGGGAGAAGCTGAAAGAAATTAGGAGAGGAATTTTAACAGCACTTAGCAGCAGTGCTAACCGGGTTCTTGCTCAGAAAAGGCAGGTCCGTGATGGGCAATTTCATCCAACTTGGCAGGAGGAAGTCCCAGACCACTAAATCCATCTGCCAAATAGCATTCCCAGTCCCACCAGTGATGCAGTTAAATGGGTAAAAGTTCATAGGAAAGGATGGTCTTATGAGAATACCTCGATAATAATAATCATAATAATCATAATAATCATAATAATCATAATAATAATGCCTATCAAGGCTATATTCCATGAACTATGGAATTTGCTTCCATGGCAGGCACTGATGACCACCAACTAGGATGGCTTTAAAAGAAGATTATACAAATTCACAGAGAACAAGGTTATCAGTGGCTATCATCTGCTGTCAGAGAAGCAGTATGCATCTGAATATCAGTTGATAGAAACTGCATGAAGCGAGAGTTGTTGTTGCACTCAGGTCCTCAGTTGTTGTTGCACTTGTAAGCATCCGGTTGGATGCTGTGAGAGCAGGACGTTTGACCAGATGGGCTTTTGCCCTGATTCAGCAGAGCTCATATGTTCTTATGTACATACGCCCATATAGCCAATTACAAAGTTACATTTAGGCTCTGTTTAATGCTTGTTCCATTCATTTTAAGAGTATGAAACTTAAGCACAAGTGAGCAAACATTTGCCTGACTATTCAGAAGTGCAGAATAAATGTGGAATGTGCCCTATTTAATCTCCTTATGCTGAAATCCACTGAGCAAAATTATAATTTGATATGGCTCAACTTAGCCAATAGAAACTCATAAAATGTCTTAACATCATAATACATTGTACAAAAGAATCGCTAAGCACCATAAAGCATATGGGAATATGGGTCTGTATTCCTCTATTACAGTCTGCCAGCACCGCATATTAAAATGATTTCTGTTTAAGTGCAAGGCTCCCCGAGGAGTATCCCAGCCTTAATTAAAATGTCAATATATATATATATATAAGGCAAAAGTCCATAGGGGACTTCATTTTGTTTTTAACTCTTTCAGACAGCTCTTTCTTAACTCATTAATTCCACTTCCCAACTTTGGGGACAATTAAAAGGAGGTTTCAATTGTCTGCGAAGCTTTCTTTCTTAATTAAATGGTGTTATAATGAATGCAGACGTATACCAGGAGGCACTGAGCAGCTGGTGCATTGAGCAAGGGCTGCCCCCTGCACTCCCAGAAGGAGTCTCATGCCTTTAACAACTCTATAGCATAGGTCTGTATCCATAGCTATTAGTCATGATCATGCGTGGAGCATCCAGGGTCACAGGCAGTCTACCCCTGGATTCCAGTTGCTGGAGAGCAATAATAAAGCAGGTTGTGGTCATTGTGTCCTGATTGTGGGCTTCCTATCTGGTTGGCCATCGTGAAAAATGGGATGCTAGACCAGATGGATGTTTGGTGTGACCCAGGTATTCTGGTGCTCAGGCTGGAACATCACAACTTCAGCTTCTCCAGAGAGAAATGCAGGGATAGATCTGTAGCTCAGCAGTAGAGAATCTGCTTTGCATGCAGAAGGTCCCAGGATCAAGCCTTGGCATCTCCAGGTAGGGCTGGGAATGGCTCCTGGTCTAAAATGCTGGCATGGAAATTACTGAGCTAGATAAACTAAGGGTCTGACTCTATATAATGAAGCTTCTGGTGTTCCTATAGCAAAAAACATGTAGCTTTCCATCCATTCCAGGCACAGAACCACTATCAAGTGGCAACCCCATAAACTTCCGCTTTGCCCGGGTCTGTAACTTCAGAGTGTCCACAAAGATCACTCTCATCACCATTCCCACTCAGAGCAAACTCAAGCAATGCCTATCAGTTTGTCAGAAAAACAGGATCACCCCAAAATAAAGTAGTGGCTTCCATACCCTCAAGGGACACCCTAGGTATGAAGAAATACATACATTTGTGGATTTAATGAAAATTGCATTTTAAGGCTGCATGGCTTGGGAGTCATCTGAGCACACTGATGACTTTATCTTGCTTCTCAATGGTTCTGATTTGCTTGACACCCAAACATCTGAGCTCACTATTAGAGGGATGAATCGAGAGCTGCCACAAAATGTTGCAGTCAGGGAGTCTTTTTTTCTAGTCCCACCTGGAGCTGCCATGGATTGAACCTCAGACCTTCTGTACAAAGAGCAGGTGCTCCGCCAATGAGCTATGAGCCTTCCTTATAGGGTGATGATGATGCGTCCACAGCTCAGTTTTGAAATGTGAAGACGTTCATGTAACTGAACCCAAGGCGGGGTTGCCCAGAGTGAACAGTGGGAGATGCTCTCCCATCTCAGTAGGTAGCTAAGCTGCACTGAAGGAAAGTAGTTAAACAGTTAATTTTTGTTGCCAATCAGCCTCCTGCTGTAATTAATAAAGTTGTGACCTTAGTCTAATCCACTCTGGTTGCCTCATTTCATTCTGCCTTCTTTTGCATAAGATGCACCCGGCAACTACATTGATTTGCATTTTTACATTGGTACAATCATATATAGGATTACTTCAAGATTGCTCTCTTTTTCACAGCTTTTTATCAATACGCATGAGTAGACCGAGGAGAAAATGCAAACAAATTGAAGGAAATGAACGCTGTGGCAAACTGTACGTGTTCTAATTGCTGGTGTATTTTTTTGGGAGATGTTCTTACTTGACCCAAAATTCATGAGAACTAGGGCAGAGTGATCTGAGCGGGGGTGTTAAAAAAAAGAGTAAGAAACAGAATAAAGGAAATCCTTTTGTCCCTAACAACAAGTCAGAGATGCCAAGATGTTGAAAGCACTGATATCTCACTTTCCAATGAGAAAGTCTCAGGCTCAAAATTTTCAATGCAAATTGGAAAATAGAAATTCCTTCCTTAGACAATGAAGAAATTTAACACAGTTCAGTCATTTCACCTGCTTTTTTAATGTTGATGGGTGTGTGATAATCCTTATGTTAGCCCAAAAGGTTAAGAATCCATGCAGAATGAGGAGATGTTAGTAGTCAGTAGGCTTGGAAAAGAACCTCAAGGTTGAAAAAGTACTGTTACAGGCTTGGGGCATCAGTCTGGATGATACCTGTGAGTCCCTTTGAAACCAGTTAATGTGTATCTGTGAGGTTAGAATCAATAAGAGGAAACTGAACCAACCAAACCAGTTCCTTTGTTAAGGTAATGGCAAGTTCAGTACTTCCATTTACATGTCCAAAGAGGTAGCTCTGTTGCCTTGGAGACAAATGGGTGGGCCTTTTCCCACCTCACCTAGGTGGATACCACATCATCCTCTGATGGAGAATAGCAGGCCAGAGGGTGGGGGTGGGGGGCTTTTGGCTGATTCTGGAAGTTGGATACACAGAGGCATATCTTGCTTGGTAGTGTACCCAAAGCTGTGCCTTGGGGGCTTCTCTAGAAACCTGTTGGAATGGTAATGCAATGAGTCACTCCACCCTATGCTTAGGTTGGGTATATGTGTAAATAAAGCCATATATCCTAAAGATACCATGATCTCCATTGACCTTTGTTCCAAGAAAATCTCATTTATTGAAGATTTTTAAACAGACATTGGGTGACAATCTGTCAATAATAATAATAATAATAATAATAATAATAATAATAATATATTTATACCCCGCCGACCTTGCTGGGTTTCCCCAGCCACTCTGGGTGGCTCCCAACAGAATATTAAAACAGAATAAAACATCAAACATTAAAAACTTCCCTAAATAGGGCTGCCTTCAGATGTCTTCTAGAAGTCAGATAGTTGCTTATTTCCTTGACATCTGAAGGGAGGGCGTTCCACAGGGCGGGCACCACTACCGAGAAGGTGCTCTGCCTGGTTCCCTATAACCTCACTTATTGCAGTGAGGGAACCACCAGAAGGCCCTTGGAGTTGGACCTCAGTGTCCAGGCTGAATGATGGGGGTGGAGACGCTCCTTCAGGCATACTGGACCGAGGCCGTTTAGGGCTTTAAAGGTCAGCACCAACACTTTGAATTGTGCTCGGAAACGTACTGGGAGCCAATGTAGGTCTTTCAGGACCAGTGTTATATGGTCTCGGTGGCCCCTCCCAGTCACCAGTCTAGCTGCTGCAGTCTGAATTAGTTGCAGTTTCCGGGTCACCTTCAAAGGTAGCCCCACATAGAGCACATTGCAGTAGTCCAAGTGGGAGATAACTAGAGTATGCACAGCTCTGGTGAGACAGGGATTCCTTGGCTGTGATTCCTGCATTGCAGGGGGTTGGACTAGATGCCCCTTGGGGTCCCTGCCAACTCTACAGTTCTATGGTTATATGAAATGTATAGTGGCAGTGGGCCCCAATATAAGGAACAAGGAGTTGGCATAATCTTTAGCAGTGGCAAACACATGATGTGAGCTGGGCAGATTTATTTTACCAGCCTTGCAGCTGCGTTTTTGCTAGCAAGTGAGAGTCAGAGTTTTGGGGTTATGACCAGCCTTCTACACACACACACACACAGACAGACAGAGAGAGAGAGAGAGAGAGAACACATGTTTTCGATACTGTACTTTCCTTGAATAATTTGCCAAGGAATTACTCCTGTTAGTGTTCCTTCCTAATGTAGCAGCAAGCCCTTTTTAAAAAAAATAATAATATATGCAACCATTATTAAATAGGTCCTCGGTGAATAGAGTTTAATTTCAAGCCTGTTAACATACTGTGTATGCTGATCCCATTGACTTCAAATGGACTATGGATCAGGCCTGCAGGGGGTTATAAAGAGCAGACGGAGAACAGACACACAGGCCAGCCAAACAATTCACCTTGCTCCCCTTTGAATAGCAGAGTCATTGCTCCCTCTAGAGGGAAAGGAAGGCAAGCAAACTTTGAATTGCAGTGGAACAAGAGCAGCTACAGTAAGCCAGCAGTTTAACTTGTGCACATTCAGCTATATGAATGAGGCAAAAATTACAAGTACATTTAAAAGAGGGCAGGGCTCCAGGAAAAATGACTTTGGCAGTCCCACCTGACATTGAACCTGGTGGACTTTGACTATACGTGATTTTGGCTTTGGGTGCGATCCTCAGAAATTAACCCCCATATACGTTGTGGACTTACTGTACATTAAGTGGGAAACATGGGTCCCCGAGATACAGCCAGCTTTCCAAACCTGTGGTAGGGTGAGAGGGATGGGCTAGCCTATTTTTGTACTGAGTTGATTACATATAAGCTGAATTATAAGTCTGTTCGGTCCCAGATTTTGTGTGTGTGTGTGTGTGTGTGTGTGTGTGTGTATTTAATGAATCAGAAACCCTTAAAAGTTTGGAAGGGACCCAGGGTGTCATCCAGACTGACCACCACCAACAACAACAACAACAAATAATTGTGGAGCTGGGAGAGGGCAACTACATTGATTAAGAGTCTGGAGCAACTGTGCAGTGTTTGGGACTTTTAAGTTTAGAATAAAAGGTAAGTATGGTGGGCCTGATCCAGCCTGCAGCCTGATCCAGCGCTGCTCCTCTTATGTTCTCAGGTTCATAATACATCGGAGCATTGAAAGCTGGAAAATTCATTAAGTAATAATGAATTACAGCAACATCATCAATCACATTGTTTATTTTGTATAGTTATACCCTCCCTTTCTCTAATCATGGGATGCAGTGTGGTATATATAGACCTCTGCAGGCCATCTCCCATCCAGGCTCTCAAACCTGGTCATGAGTCTCAAGACAGGGTTCTTGGAATTGCAGGCTGCTTCTTACAGCATGTGTCTTATTTATATAGCAAATGATGAAGAAACTAGAAGCCTGAAGGGGCAGCTTTACAGCTTGAGTGACCATCTGTCATGTATGATCTTGTTGAGGTTCCTGCAGTGCAGCGGGGTGGACTAGATGACCCTCGGGAACCCTTCCAGCCCTACAATTCTATATGATTTATGTAGGAAGAGGATGAAGGTGCTATCCTAGCTTTAACCACCAGAGGGAGGCATACAATAGCCTTCACATACACAGGTCAGAATGTGGATCCTAAATGAGACCCGAATATATCACTGTGACTATGTTTGCATCAATGGGTGCTTGTTTTTTTAACATGAAGAAGCAGGCTTTGTCGAGAACCCAGGAGAGTTGGGGTGGGGTGAGGATGAGCTCAAGGGGAAGACATCACACAATGCAAAGTTAATTCATTTGTATATTAAACCTCTGCAAAATGCAACGATGGCCTCTGGCTAAGACGACTTTCAAAAGGGATTAGCCAAATACACAGAGCATAAATGGAACCTCTAGCTTCAGTGGCAGTCTACCACTGAGAAGTAAATGCTGGGAGGGGCAGCAAGGGAGAGGGCTCTTGTCTTGCCTTTCCACTGAATTGGCAATGATGAACTAGGGGCAGTATAGGAAAGCAGGCTTATACTGAGTCAGACCATTGGTCCATCTAGCGCATGGGTAGGCAAGCTAAGGCCCGGGGGCCGGATCTGGCACAATTGCCTTCTAAATCCGGCCCGCGGACAGTCCAGGAATCAGCATGTTTTTACATAAGTAGAATGTGTGCTTTTACTTAAAATGCATCTCTGGGTTATTTGTGGGGCATAGGAATTCATTCAAAATATAGTCTGGCCCCCCACAAGGTCTGAGGGACAGTGGACCTGCCCCCTGCTGAAAAAGTTTGCTGACCCCTGTGACTAGCGCATGGTTGTCTGCACTGACTGGCAGCAGCTCTCTAGGATTTCCTGCAGGAGCTTCCCCCCACCCCCAGCCATTCCTGGAGATGACAGGAATTGAACTTGAGTATACTCCATGCAAGGCAGATGCTCTGTCAACTGAGCTACTGTCCTCCCCCTGTTAAGGACACAGGAAGTCACCTTAAACTGAGTCAGGCTATTGAGCCATTTAGCTCTGTATCATCAACACTCACTGGCCGCAACTTCCCATGGTTTGGGGGCAGGGAAGGGTCTTCCCCAGTCCTAACTAGAGATACAAGGGTTTGAAACTGGGACCTTCTGCATGCAAAACAGATGTTCTACCATTAAGTCACCTTGGGGCCAAAATGGATGAAGACTTGATGAAGATGGAACAGGGTGCAGTGGCACAACAGGGAATCATGGGAGGACAGAAACATGTTTGGTGGCGGAAATGACTGGCAGAATCCGAGACCAGGGAGAAGAGTCGGTGGAAGAAGATTGGAAGAAATTCAAAGACTATCTACAGAAATATTGCAAAATTAATGAATGTTAGAATGATGTTGGATAGAAATTAAGTGGTTTTCAGCTGTAATACTATAAGGGAATATGAAAAATGGATTATTAATAGGTAAAAATTTAACGTTACAATATTTTAAGATTAAAGACTAGGATAAACAAAGAGGGTAAGGATTTGCTGAACCAACAAACCGAACTGGAATACAAAAAAGGGAGGCGTGAGGAGGTTCGGGAAACAAGTTAATGAAAAATAAGTAATGGAAAGATTGAGTTGTTTTTAACCATTTTTATTTTGTATTTTTTTCTTTTTTTCTTTTTATTTTGTAACATTTTGAAAATCTCAATAAATATCTTATAAAAAAAAAGAAACATGTTTGGAAAGGGCAGGGGAGTAGCAACATTGTCCAATGATGTTCACTGTTGTGTATACCATAGCCAATGTTGTGAATGAAATTTAGCGCGACATGTCAACATATCAGTCAAGAACCACAGTTCCATAATGCAACAGTAGTGTGCTGTAGTGTGAAAGGAACATTAGGAAACAGGACAGAGGTGCTAGTATTATAATCAGAAAAAACTAACACCATATTCTCCATGCCTGAATGCACCCCTAGTCTGAGACTGTAAACTCAGGGTAGCCAAGATGGTGGGTTGGACTCCATCTCCCATAATCCCCATCCACTGGCCATGTCAGCTGGGGATGATGGGAGCTGGAGACTAACAACATCTTGAGAGCAGTAGGCTGCTGTAACTGTTATGCCACACTGGCTCCCTAATGTGAAACCTAGAGCTAAAACCCCCACAAATATTGGCAACCATCCTTCGCGAGTCAGGAAGTAGACTCCAGATCCCATTTTTAAAAGGCTGTTGCATTTTTAATCACTATCTTAACAGCACTATCTTTAGCACTGTAAATTACAGGATGAAATACGGCACCTCCATTGAGGTCTCACTATTAATTTTTACATTTCAAAAAGCTCTTAGCCATCCTATAAAGTTTTATGAGCACTTCTGGTCTACCCTGACCTAATGAGTGAGAGGTGTCAGAGAAAAGAAATGACCCCTAAGAGGTTTCATTTTGGGCCATCTATCTGGCAGGCACACATGTCCACTTAGCCTAAACTCCTCCACATACAAGCTATGTAATAGGGTAACAATAATAATTTATTTTAACAATAATAATAATGCTGCATATTTTGAGATTACACACCAGCATTTCCAGCTTTCCATTAATGGCATTTCAGCCAGAAAGCTTATTATGGACAGTTCAGCTGTTTCCAGGCTCGTTTTTCATTGAATCTCAATTGGGAGTAGATATAAACTTCTCAAGGTTACATGGCTCCTTGCTTCCCTGCCACACATTGCCACAAATGACCAAGCTCTAAATCAGGGCCAAGAAACCAGTGACTCTCCTGCTCTTGCTGGACTCCAACACTCACCAGCCCCGGCCAGAATGGGCAATGGTCAAGATGGTGGCAGTTAAAGTCCAACATCCAAAGGGCCACAGGTTCCCCATCTCTGTTCCAGATGAAAAGAGGATGCTGATGCAGAACAAGCATAAGTTCATCAAGTTCCTTTTAATCTATACTGACTGCTCCATAAAATTTCTGCTTGGGCTGATTTCAAGCTTACTTTCTAAATTTGGTGATGGAATCCTCAAGAGGGAAGGGAAATCGCCACCAGATGTTTCTGACTCCTACAAAAGGACTCCACATACTCAAAAGCTCTTTTGCACAACACCCAATGAAACTACATTGCAGTTGTCCCCAGTTAGCAAACACAGTCCTTATTTTCTGGACCCTCTCCCTGGTAACTCTGTTTCAGCTTTGACCCATTTTTTCCCTTTTGGGGCAGCAATCCTAAGTATGAGGGTGTCCCTTAGGGTAACTATGTGCCCTCCTTTCAGGGCCAGATTTAGGTTTGATGAGGCCCTGAGCTACTAAAGGTAATGGGGCCTTTATATGTCCAGCTGTCCTTTGTCAACAAAAAATTGTTGCTGTTTTTTGTGTTGAATATATGCTATATGGCAATTTATGGACCTAATAGGTATCTAAAGCCATTTGCACATAACAAAAGGCTAGCAGGCGGGGCCCATTATTTACATCATAGGAGGCTACACAACACAAAACACTGCTGCTGTATGTAGGTTTTATTTTGTTTTTTATCTTATATTTTGGAAATGTACATCCAGTTTTTCCCCTTTATTTTTTTTTTGGGGGGGGGCAAGAGCATGGGGCCCTAAGCTATAGCTTGTTTAGCTTATACATAAATCCGGCACTGCCTCCTTTACAGGGTAAAATCCTCTCTTTAAGGTCACCCATGTTTGATGAAGTCCTTTGTTTGGAGGGTTCTCTGGCACAAGTTCAAAACCCTCAAGAACCGAAGGCAGGAGAGCAGGGCTCCCCAGGGGTCTTGAAAGTGCTCATCAACAGTTAGTGCCTGGAAAGAGAATTGAGCAGGCACCTGGGTCACCAGGTCACTGCCTCCTTTCACTCTGGTGAAATGTATTTCCTCTACATGTGCATTTATGGCATGACTTCCTAAAATTCTCCACCTGATTTGTAGGGGGGAAATTTGGCAAAGCGGATGATTTCACCAAGCTGTCTCCAGAAGAGTGGGTGGAAATCTTGAACACTTCAAGTGGAAGTGTAAAAGAAACAATTTTTGGTGGGTAGGGATGAGGCAGAGAATTTCTCAGAAAATAATCTGAATGTTGAATCAAACTATTGTTAGTTCAACCTGGTGGATGAAGGAAGCAAGAGATTAAGAATAGAGGAGGGCGGGGGGGGGAGCTTCACCAATATTAAAATAATATTAAATAATATTAAATCTGAATCCACAGTTGTGCCCAAAATTCTCTGCCAAGGAGAGTGGGCTGAAATTCTCAGAAAATGCCCTTAAAAATTATTTTTTCAATACATTTGAACCCAGCTGCAAATCCCTTGTCAAAAAGGCTCAGCAGCTCCATCATTTGCCGGATGTGATTTGTTTCTAATGTATGAATTAAATGGCATGGGGACATTTCCTGCGGACAGCAGACATGCGTCTTCCCAACTTCCTTGTACAGAATATTTTGCTTAGAATAATTTGTGACTTGTTACAGAGGGGATTAGAGAAAGAGAAAGAAAGGGGCTTGATAGCTACAGTGTTACTAATTAAATATTAAATCAAAGCCACTCTTGTTAAGTCTATTATCCTTACATCTCTGGTATGCGTGCTCTGAACTCGGCACATTATTTCGAGCAGTTATTGGAATCATCTGTTGAGGGAAATCTCATTTCTCATTGCCAAATCTGGTGTTGGAACGGCAAAACTAAAAGCGTGGGGGCCAGCTTCATGCTGCGTCCATGTGTAGGCTTCCAAGAATTTATTGACCTGGATTCCACATGGTGGTTATTCATCTGAAGCCCATCTCAGCTTCTTCTGCTCCTTTGCTGTCAACCTATGAGTGAAAGTTGGAATGGTTTTTGTTCGTCTGTTAGGAATTATGGGTACCGACATCATAGAACTGTAGAGCTGGAAGGGACCCAAATAGCCAACTAGTCTCAGCACCTGCAATGTAGGAATAACACAGCTGGACATCACACACAGGAAGACGCCTTATGTTGAGTCAGACCACTGGTTCATCTAGGTCAATATTGTCTACACTGACTGGCAGAAGTTCTCAAAAATCCCCATCAGGAGACATTCTCAGGTCCTTCCTGGAAATGCTGGGGATTGAACCCAGGGCCTTCTGCATGCAAAACCAGTGCTCTACCACCAAGCTACAACCCTTCCCCATAAGAACATGAAATGGCAGGAGACCCAACCCAGCTCCATATACAGTGGTACCTCGGATTACATATGCTTCAGGTTGCAGACTCCGCTAACCCAGAAATATTACCTCAGGTTAAGAACTTTGCTTCAGGATGAGAACAGAAATTGTGCTCTGGCAGCGCGGCAGCAGCAGGAGGCCTCATTAGCTAAAGTGGTGCTTCAGGTTAAGAACAGTTTCAGGTTACGAACAGACCTCCAGAACGAATTAAGTTCTTAACTTGAGATACCACTGTAAATGCAGAAGAGAACCACCCTCTTGTTGAAGTGTTTGGCTCCTGGGCCAATAATATTTTTATTCCCGTCGGGGTTATGTATTCCTTCCCGTAGCACCTTAGAGACCAACTAAGTTTGTCATTGGTATGAGCTTTCGCATGCATGCACGAAGGAAGGATTTTCTTTTAAAAAAATTGACTATGGCAGACCAACACGGCTACCTACCTGTAACTGGGGTTATGTATGGTTTGGACCCTCACCAGGAAAACACAGTTGGGCCGCAAGAATTGCTAGCAGGTTATGTGTCCCATTGCTTTCCAATACAAATGAGCAAATCTGTCAGTTGAGGTTTCTCTCACTTCCTCATTTATCTACACTTTTAAGTTCAGTTCTCTGCATTTCCACATCAGTTTGTGATTTATGTCTTTTAATGTCCTTGTGAAAACCCACCAGCTTCAGACTGAAAGCATGATGATACCCATAGCTGTCAACTTTTCCCTTTTTTTGCAAGGAATCCTATTTGGAATAAGGGAATTTCCCTTTAAAAAGGGGGAAAGTTGATAGCTATGATGATACCACTTGAAACAGCCATGGGCTCCTCCCCCCCCCCCCAGTATTCTGGGGAATGTAGTTTGTTACGGGTGCTGAGAGTTGTTAGGAGCCCCCCCCCATTCCCCTGAGAGAGCTACAACCCCCAAGAGCAGTTTAACAGTCAATCCTCTCTTCCCAAGGAACTCTGGGAATTATAGCTCTGTAAGAGGAATGGGGTCTCCTAACAATTCTCAGCACCTTAAGAAGCTATATTTTTCAGAATTCTTTATGAAAAGCCATGGACTGTTTAAAGTGGTATCATGGTGCTTTCAATGTATGGTGTGGAGACATATGGTCTCCGCCTGAATTTTCTGTATTTAGGTCAATTTGGTCACTAAACTGCACTGCTTTCCTTAGGACCTGGCTCACCAGGGGTTATTTTACATATTTGGGGCAAAACATCACCCTGAGATAATTTTTCCTATCCTGTCATTGCATGGAAAATGTTTCTTCACAACTGCCGCCACATGGCCAGATCAACACCTAAGAAAAGAAAGAAAGAATTTGCCATCATTTTCTAGAATGCAGTTAAATATTGATTTCATCACATGAAGAGAAAACTTCAGCATAGGAGAGTCATGATGGCATCTCCCCATCAAATATCCACATCTATCTATCTCTATAGATCAGCAAAGGAAGCTTCTGAATGGTCAAGTACCAAGAAATATCAGTAGACCTCTATGAAAAGAGGCTGACATGGAACGGCCACATATTTCTAAAGGGAGAACATTGCACTCAGGTATTTTTAAAATAAGAAAATTGGGTTGGTATTACTAAAGATACATCCTCGCATGTTTCACAAGTAGACCCTTAAATTAAAAAAACAGACACCTGCTCTATTTTATTGAATACTGAACCAGTTCACACAAGTAAATACACTTGTTTAAAGGAATTCAAGGAGTAATTCTTCGCTTGAAAGAGCATGTGATTTAATCCATTGTTATATTCTTAGCTGGCTCATTTTCTAAGATCTTTGTCACATTTGCTATAATTTAATATTTTAGATATCCTTTAAACGAGTGTGAAAGCTTTTCAATGCCTTTCTTTATTCAGAAAAGTTCTCCCTTTTTTTGCCTATAATTGAGTTCAAACTGGTTTTGTGAGAGACTTCTTCAGATAAACTGTATACATTTTTGTTCTTATCTCACTTTCCAGCTTTTGATCAACAGCAGCGTATGAGTGTATGTACGTTACATTCAAGAGCTAACCAAATTTATTCAACAGATTATACATTAATTTTGCTATTAGAACATAATATGAACAGATAATCCACAGCAATGTGTCAGAATTTTTCTTGAAACTGAATTTAATTATAACGAGTAATGTGTGTCTGAGAATTATAATTATGAAGACTCGTGTTCTGTAAATCTGAAATGACAGATTATATTTCAAAGCCTCATTGCAAAGGAATTACAGCACCAATTTATTAGTTGTAAATGTCTGATTATTGTGGCTTTGCTTAAAAAAAAAACCCATGATCAGAGTATATTCTAGCTGGATTTAATCCTTCTGACCAAAGAGAGAGATTTCATACAGAAAGTGGACACTGTGTTAATTTGTTTACAGGACACGCATTCAAACAATTTATCTTTGTTTCACAGTCCCTGAACGGTAATGATTTAAAGATACTTTATGCAACTTTGTACTATATTTCCCTGCAGGGAAAGTGATTAAGAAACGTGCATTAACCTAGCAGCGGTACAATTATCGCTTTAGGTCTCCAACATTGTTTCATGTGTAGCTCCTTTTGTTACATAGCGATAACATGCAGATAGGAGGGTGGATTCCACTTCATTGACCATGAGTTCCTTTGCATGACAGTCAGCTGAGGAAAGCACCAGAGGTTTTGCTATTTATCAGCCTTTCGCCTCCTGCTCAAAGCAGCTAACTTCCCAACCAGGCCATTAGGTGATGAGCAAGCTTAATGAGGTGGAGTCTCCTGAATAGAATGCTCCTGTGTTAAACACAGGAAAGCGTAATGGGGTTCGGACACTCAATCTGGCATTGTTGCACTTCTAATGATGTCCCCCTTAATGGAATGCGCCTGCTGTGTGTCATAATAGAATATGTCATTTCAGCATTCGTCAGAGAGTAAAGCTTTTAAAGAACCTGGTCACTGATCCAGAATAACACAGGAACATAGGAACTGCCTTATACCCAGTCAGACCATTGTTCCATCGAGTTCAGTTTTGTCCACATTGACTGACAGCAGCTGTCCAGGATCTCCAACAGAAATCTTTTTCAAGTCCTACATGAAGAAATTGAGGGTTGAACCTGTGATCTTCTGGGTTTAAAGCTTGTTCTCCACCACTAAACTATGGGCATAGGACCTTTCACTGAGTCACACCATTTGTCTATCTAGCTCAGTATTATCTTTACTGGCAGCAGCACTTTAGGGTTTCAAATAGAGATACTGTCCCAACTTTGCCTGACAATGCCAGGGATTAAACCAAGGACCTTCTGCATGCAAAGCAGGTGTCCTATTGCTGAGCTGCGGTCCTTCACCAGTTTAGTTGTACAGACAGTTCAGAATTCTAAGATCCAGGGGAAAATTGTGTTGGAGATGATTTCAGAACCAAACCAACCATATTTCTCTAGATGCTATTTTACCAAGGAACTCCCAAAACCCACTGATGAGCTTTTGGTGATGTGACGTGCATTTCTTGGACAGGAAGCAGTGTACATGGCTGAGTGATCCCAAAATTATTTTGAGGAACACATGAAAAGTTTCCAGTACATGTTTTAAACAGGATCAGCTTGACAGTGTTAACTTGGTGAACCCACACTGACGAAATGTAACGGAAACATCCACCCAAATCCATATCTCTATCGCGTTTTCCTTATTCAGAAAGTCACATCCAATCCTGAGTGCTTTTCCATGCAAAGTTTCCATGGGCAAGCCAAGAGAAGCATGCTGGGAGGCTTGATATGAATTCCATGCTGAGCAAACTGGCACACTGTCATCTTTTCATTGGCTCTGTGTCTGCAACCTAACCCAATGCAAGTAAATTCAAGAACGGCTGATGTGAGAGGAGGGAACTGAAAACATGCGTTCCTGGCCAGCTGATTGGACCACAGAAACTAGCATCATTTCTGGTCTCTGTTGCGTTATGGTTCTGAAGGGACATACTGTAGAGCAGCCAGAAGCAGGAGTAGTTCATCACTGCAGTAAGTCATTTGAATTTCAACACAAGGGCCACAATTTTTTACTCCTTTTGCTACTACACCTGTGTATGTTGCCAGGAGGTCAGGAAACCAAGGACCAATTGAGGGAGCTTGGTATGTTTAGCCTGGAGAAGAGAAGGCTGAGAGGTGACATGATAGCCATCTTCAAATGTCTAAAGGGCTCTCACATGGAAGATGGAGCAAACTCGTCTTCTGCTGCTCCAGAGGGTAGGACCTGAATGAATGAATTCAAATCGCAAGAAAGGAGGTTCTGCCTAAACACTAGGAAGACGTTGATGATGGTAAGAGCTAATCAACAATGGAATGAACTACGTGGGAAGGTGGTAGGCTCTCCTTCATTGGAGGTTTCTAGACATACGTTGGGGAGCTACCTGTCAGAGACTCTTTGTGATTCCTGCCTTGCAGAGGATTGGACTAGATGAACCTTGGGGTCCCTTTCAGCTCTAGAATTCTATGATTCTATGGAATAGCCTTCTGTATTGGCCTGATGCCAGGTACCTTATACTGAGTCAGACCATTGGTCCATACAGCTCAGTATGGTGAGCACTGACTAGCAGCAGTTCTCCAGGATTTTAGGGAGGGCATCTCTCCCAGACCTACTTGGAGATGCTGGGGATTGAAGCTAGGACCTTTTGCATGCAAACCAGATGTTCTAGCACTGAGCCACAGCCCTCCCCCAAGGCCCAGAGGTTTGCCTGGCATGAACAACTAGGATCTTGCCCCGGGTGTCGAAATAACTACTTACAACACTGTACTAACTAAATATATATTGGCGATGATTATATGATGATTAATGTTAGAATGCATAACCTCTCTTTCCCAGAGCAGGTATCATGCAACCCAAAGAACCTGTGCATCCAAACTGATACTGATTAGTTCGTACATAATAAATTATCCCAAAGCAACCTTTGACGCCACACATCCCCTAACACTTTAAAATTAAAACTAAATTCAATTTAAAGGAAGGGGGGGAGGGAAACGCTCCTGCAAACCATTTTTCCCTTAAATTAATCTTCAATGAACTTGCCGTTTTGGCCTTCCCGCTGGATGCAGATAATCAATCTTGACATGGGGAACGGAAGCCCTTGCAAGGAAGTAGAATTAGAGCAGGGATCTGAGGCAGCAACATGAAAAGAGATATTATCAGTATTTTATTAGGAACAATTAAGCTAATACTCAATTAGTTTCCATCCCCGAAGCCAAATGACAGATCGGAAAACAAAGAACGAGCCCCCGACAAGGTGTTCATTTTCTAATAAATGGCCAGTGCGAGGAATCATTTATTGGTGTTTTGCCCCCCGGTCAAAGTCTCTGGGTGACCTGCCTAGTGCGAGGCGATGGTGCTGGCCAGATGCCAACATTAACTGTACTTATTACACTCATCCCATGCAGAACGCATCCATCTCTGGCTCAGCTCTGACATCCCATTTATTCCAAGATTCATTTGTCATGTCCCCCAATCACCAAAATGAATAGAAACTTCCCAGCATGATGGATTGCAGTCCTAATTAGGAGTAAAGACAAGATCTACACTCAAGTAGGGTTTTCTCTCTCCCTCTCCCTCTCCGGCACTCTTTCTTCTAATACAAAAAGGGTGCCCAGCCAATGTCCTTCTGAAGTGCCCGGATGCTCTAGGTCAATGGGTCGTCAAGGAGTTGTCACCCTCCCATAAAAGCTTGATTTCCCTGCATCAGAAACACTTTCCAAGGGGGAAGGAACCATTGGACACACATTTTCCCCCAGACGTAGGATTTCTCATGGGTAAGACATTAAGAGAGAGAGAGAGGAATGGAATCCTCGGGAGAAAGCATGTTAACACTATTGAAGTCCATCACATGCTCCCCAAGGCTGTGTAATCAGGCTGGGAAAAGACTCTACCAGTCAGTATAGATAATGTTGAGCTCGAAGGACCATTGCACAGCTCATATCTCCTTTCAAAGCTCTGCCCTCCCCACCAGGGACCAGTACTTGCAATGAGAAGAGTATAGGAATGTAGGAAGCTGACTTACACCGAGTCAGACCATTGGGGTCCATCTAACTCAATTTTTCCTGTACTGACTGGAAGCAGCTCTCCAAGATTTCAGACAGGGCTCTTCTCCCAGCCTTACCTGGAGATGCCTGGGATTGAACTTGTGACCTTCTGCATGCAAAAACACTTGCTTTACCACTGAGCTGCATCCTTTCCCTGGCATGGATATATGCAATGATGTCATTTTGTATCATATGAATGAAAATATCACACACATACACCATATTCATTACACAAGTATGAACATCCATAGCATAAACGAATACGAATTTGGAACACACATTAATATCTAAATTAATCCCAAGGTGGTCTCTGCTTTCCCAACACCTTTTGCTCATTACAACATCTTGTATCAAAAAGTGGCCATAAACCTTCTATTGATGGCAAAGAGCTTTTAAAAATGTGAAAATTCAAGGGTGAGACCTCCAAGGAGGCATAATATTTTATGTCTTAATTTATGGGAAGAAAGACTCCTCTTGTTGCCATTAATATAATAATAAAAAAATGGCAGTGTCTTCCCTTGTGCAAAGCCTTTGCTTATTTTAAGCACTCTCACAAGCCCCTTTGGCTCCAGAACAGGTTTGCATTATGGAGCTACAAATCAAAGAAACTGGGATTTTAAAAAAGAAAACTTGGAATGGGTCTGACCAGAAATGCAAGGCAGAACTACACATTGCATTATTTTTATTACTTACTAACAGTGTTTACATGCCACCCAGTAACAAGTGTTTCTTGGAGGGGTAGTAAAAGCATTGAAACTCACCAAAAATCACAGAAAAATAAAAATGAATATATGAATTCCAGGGTACAAATTTCAGAAGCATTGTGTGAAGCAGCACAGAGCAATAGATGCCATCACTAAATAGAGGAAAAGCTATAACCCATCTAAAATTCAATGGATGCAAAGTCTCACAATAAAGCTGGAAGTAAAAGGGTGGGCAGAGGGGAAGACCTTACACTGGAAATACCACAAGGAAGGTCTTAGGCAGGTCACTCTTGCCTGGGAGGTCATTCCGTAACTAGGATGCCACTACTGAGAAGGTCCAAGGTGTCACAAACTAGGATGCCTTAAAAGAGGACTGGGCAGATTCATAGATGATGATTCATCAGTAGCTACAAGCCATGATGTCTATTTTTCACAGAGAGTGCTGTTGGGCTGTTTTTGGACTTCCCATGGGTATCTGACAGGCGACTGTAGGGGTGCATTCAGACATGAATAACATTGTGTTAGTTTTTCTTTTTATAATGCTATTGCTTCTGTCTCTTTTCCTAATATTCCTTTTCCACTGCAGTACCTGGAATTATGGCTTTTTGACCAAGTACACTGGCCCAACTCACTAAATTTCATTCATATCGGGTGGGGGGGAGTGTGGCACAACAATGGCCATCATTGAACGATGCTGCTAGCTTCCTACCCTTCCCACACATGAATGCTTCTGTTCCTTCATGATTCCCATGAGAGAAAAAGGAGGAAATAAGTGTATTTAGCAGCTGCCTCTTCCCATATGAACCTACCTGGTCCCTGAGATCATCTTTTGAGGCCCTCCTTCGTGTGCCTCCTCCTTGAGGGGTCCGGAGGGTGGCAACGCGAGAACAGGCCTTCTCTGCAGTGGCTCCCCATCCATGGAATGCTCTCCCCAGGGAAGTTCACCTGGCCCTTCATTATACACCTTTAGGCACCAGACAAAAATGTTCCTTTATAACCAGGCCTTTGGTTGATCTTATTGATGTCCAACACCCTTTTAGAATGTGCCTTTTGGGGAGCAGGGGTTATTGGGTTACTGCTTTTAGTTTGATTTTATATGTTGTGATGTTGTTGTGAGCCGCCCTGAGATCTCTGGGTATAGGGCGGGTGTATAAGTTGAATAAATAATAATAATAATACCATCTCAAATTTTGTCATTTTGCAGTGTCAGTTTTCTGGGTGGTGGGGGGCTGCAATCATGTTTTTTCCCCTGAATCAAATAGTATGGAAATGAACAATAAAGATGTGTTATATTCCATTGGTTGTCCAAAAGCGGCTTTTACATCATGTTAAAGGTCAAATATAATATGGAAATTAACAGTTAGGGAAATGCAAGGGAAATGGAATAAATTGCTGTAGGAATACTGGATGTTATGTCATCTGAAGGTTCTGGGGAGGAAACAGGAGGAAAAGAAAGAAAGAGGGGATAAACTGCTATCTATAAGCACCCCTAGTTCTGAATGCTGTTCTGAATGTTGGTGTTCACTATGGAGGAACAAACAGCCTTTCATTCTCCTGGTATGGGCTTGTACTACAAAGGATCACCCTCCTTTTAGTTTCCGCTCTACATCCTGCTGCAAGCTCTCTTTTTAAAAGAACAAGAGATATCCAGGTATTTGCTTCATGGACAGGACGTGATCTTTGCTCTCATTTCTTCCTCCTTTAGGTAACTTTGCATCTTCGCCTCTAAGGGTATGCATTTTGTCCCTCTATCTGTCTTAACTACAACTGGCCAGATTTTGGCACAATTTAAAGGATGAGCCAAATGAACTGATTTAGTCTGAATATACCCTAAAAGCAAAATCCTGAAAACCACTTTCAAAGCAATCTTTCTGCTTCTGCGAAGATGGATAATTTAATCTTCGTCATTGGCCTGTCTCTGTCAAAGAGAACAATGGATAGTCTATTCACAACTGATGACTATATAGAAATTAATATTAGTAAAAGGTGTCCATTTAGTGTCTCACCTTCTGTGCTAAAGGTGACAGGTGTGATGGATGCCTCCCCAGACAATGGATTTATCTTTAAAATGGGGTAATTACACAGGGGATGCATGGTTGACATAATGACATTGTGGTTTTATATTAATAAAGGAAAGAAAGAATCCTCCTCCAAGCAGAAGACAGTATGGTCAAGCCAAGTCATATTCTTGACTGTGTAAAGGTGAAATTTTGTAACTTTAGTAAAAAATAATAACTGTTTCCTTTGTGTGTGCATATATAACAGGTTCTTTCTCAAGCATTGTCATTGCCGCTGGGCTAAGTTCAAGGTGTTAGTGCTGGTGTATGAAGCTTGAGATCAAGGTGCCTAAAAGTTTGTCTTGTCCTTTATATATCCAACTGATCACTGCAGTCTGTGGGAGAGGGCATCTTACAGACGCCATAGCACCAGAAGATCCTGTCTGCTTGAGAGGCAGAATCAGGCCATAAGTGAGATGGCACCTACCCTCCTGTTACGTATCAAGACAGGTGCTGCCTCTGTCGTTTTATTGGCTTTTGTTGGAGATCTTTTTGTTTCAACAAATCTTCTAAATGAATATTTTTTATGCCAGCCAATATCTGCATCGGATTTGAAATGGTTCTTAGAAATGCAATTGTTTTCAACTGTTTTTATATATCCAGTTCTTTTAGGGTATTGCAAATTTGCTTCGGGTTGTTTCGTAGGAAGCAATTCAGAAATGAAGTCAGTCAAACCTTCCTAGTGTTTCAGGAACTGCTGAGGTTAGAAGGACCATAACTCAATAGTTCAGCTTCTGCTTTCCATGGGTCCTAGTTTCAACTCCAGGTACGCCTGGGAAAGACAACCCCCACCTCTGCTTTGAAACCAGCCTGAATGAACTTCAAATTGGGCAGGGGGAGCGTCCCCGATGCTTCCACAGCTCCTTCTGGTGGTCCATACCAT